AAGCAATTTGAGTCACTCTAATTACATTACAGACCCATTTACTTCATTAGGATCCCTCTATTACATAGGCTTGTTTCAAAAAATAGATAACCATTGTTTCATATCGGTCAAAATTAGGCGATTTCATAAGAGCCAATCAGAATTCAGAACAGAGAGCAAACTCATGAAAAATGATTACTAATGATTTTTTTAAGTTTGCTTCTTGGTCTCAACTTTGGTTGGTTAATATAGTAGTTGTCCACTCTATGACGTGTCCATTTTACAACTTGTCTACTTTTTGCTATTTAACTATCATATATGTACCAAACATCACTGACAAACGTATTTTTATATAAAATTCACATAAAATGAAAAAATAATTTTCAGATAAAATTCACGTAAAACGGCAAACGTAATTTTAACATCGAAAGCACATAAATTGATAAACGTAATTTTTACATAAAAGTCACATAAAAGAACAAACGTTATTTTCATATAAAAATCACATAAAATGAAAAACATAAAAATCCCATATATGACAACGTAATTTTCACATAAAAATCACACAATTGACAAACGTAATTTAAACATCAAAATCCCATAAAATTACAAAATTAATTTTCACATAAAAATCACATAAAATGACAAACGTAGTTTTCACATCAAAATCACATAAATTGATAAACGTAATTTGTACATAAAAATCACATAAAACGAAAACGTCGTTTTTCAGAGATATTTCAGCTAAAAAATCTTAAAAACTAAAAAATCATAATATTGACTTTAACATCAAACACTCATTTTGGTTTGTTGAAGTTTTGTTAAAAAACTATGTCTTAGACGATATTTTATGTTGAAAAGTATTGTCCCTGTTTGTGGTCGTTTATTTTGAGGTATCTCATCCTACCTTTGGCTTTGTTCATCTTTATGCAGTTTGTCAATGCGTGTTATCTTGAATTATTGGTTGAGTTATTTGGACCTTTTGACAAAGAAAAGTTAATAACGAAAAGTGAATTTCAGGTGCTTTCTAAAACTATTTGTTGTATACGCTTCTTGTACCTGCTCGTTTTCATTTATTTATCTGCTTAACGATCCCCCCTATTTTATCTACTAAAAATTTCCCCATTTCTCCCTTTCTTGAAAGGGGGAGGTTGTTTAGTAGATCCTCGTTTTCTTGAACAAAAGAATAGAACGCCATCCGTATCCAACGGAAGCTGTTTTTCAAGATAAATAATTCATGTAGATTATCTAGCCTAGTTTTCTCGTAATTTTTGTGCAGAAGTGATCTATTTTTTTCCTAGTTCAGAAATAAACTGTTTCTGGAAAGAAAGAACCAGAAATCAGTTCACTGCTCAACCGCAACGAGATAAACATGCTTCGAGTATACACAATAACAGTAGCAATACAAAATAAACTTACACTTGTTATAACAAGTGTTATTCTGCTAAAACTATAACGAATCATCAAGGCTTGAAGCCTAGTGGATAGAGCAAAAGTCTGAAAGCAGAAGATCAGGGGTTCGATCACCATCAGGAGACTTTTTCTAGCTAGAATTGGCCTAGACTTAGCTAATTTCGAATAAGGGTGAGATATAAAGAATTTAAAGAAAATCCATGCTTTATTTACACATTTCAAAAAGAATTTCTGATCAGTAACTAGATTAGATACAAAGCATTTCAGGTCAGAAATAAAAAATTTTCTCGGTACGGGCTTCTAAGTCTAGTTTTCGTATGCTGCAAAAAAAATCGATATTCGAAAAAGAGCGAAAAATATGATACTATATCAAACATAAATCTTAACATGTTTAAAATGCAATAAGAAACCTGGTATCTCAGATAACCAAAACCAGCTCGAGCGCAAACAATAAGTTCGAAAAAGAATGAGAAAGAGAAGTCCAAAACATTACCCGCACTCAGTAAAAAGAGAAAATAATAGATTATAATAGATTTTTAATGGTCAGTCTCCATAAACTTCAAAAAATGAGGTTACAATCGATTTAAAATTGATTTTAAAGTTACTATTTTATGTAACAAAAAATCCCATTATAATCGATTATAACCGATTATTTTTTGGAAAAAAAATATTTCTGAAATTTTATTAAATTTTAATCCATTTTGATCAATTATAACCGGTTGGCGGACGCCTTTTTCAGGGATTCCACTGCTTCGGAACCCCCTTTGTACTGTTTTGAGATATTCATATTTGGTGGCGGACCCTTTGGCTTCTGGCGCCAATAAAAACTAATTTTGAGGGGTAGCGCGCGCCAAAAAAAACGCGATTTTTTTGTGAAACTTTTCCAAAAAATGCCTAAAAAAGCCGTTTGTGGTCTGTTTCTTCAAAGATTTGGAAAAAACATGGTCAAAATAGGGTCTTTTAAGCCCTCTGGGAGAACTCAGAAAATCAATTTGGTCGACCTAAAAATCAATTTGGTCGACTAATTTTAACTGGGATTTTCTGCAGAATAGCTAAATTATAATCCATTATGAGATTAAGAGAGATTATAAGAGATTATAAAAGATTTTCGGAAAAGTTATAATCAAATATAATTGATTATAATTTATTGAATTGTCACCAAAAATGTTATCATTACAATGGATTATAAAGTCATTTAAACATCTAAAATTGGCGCTTATACCTAATTTTAATTTTGCTAAAAGTACAATTATAAATATAATGTAATTGATTATTTTCTCTTTTTACTGAGTGCGGGCATGTATACTTTGGACGGCAGTTGTCTAAGAAATCTCTAAGGACTCCCCTGATTCAATCAGAAGGTGAGAGGTTCAATGCCCATCAGGATCTAACCTTGTTGCCTGAATACGGTAGGCATCACATCCTGGCTCAAAAATTAGAGAGCCTGGGTTGCCTATCATAGAAGATAATGCGCAACCATACACATCGATGCATGATTTGTATGGAAAATGGCTAATCATGCGTAGCACATACATTTGTTTCGAAAACCCTCAAAATAGCTTTTTGGCGGACTAATTTGTTAATAAAAACAATTTCTTATTTTTATGCAAGCTGTTGGTAAGACATGAAAATTTTCAACCATGCAAATCATACGTCGCAACATTTATGGCGCTGTTTATGGAAGACATTCAAACAAAACTTTTTTCTCTGGAAAATCGTGAAAAAAAGTTAACTGCAAAAAGAAAATGATTTAGAAAATGTATCTTTTATACACGATAGGCTTTTTTTATTTTTGACTTTTTTATCAATATGCAAATCATACGTCGCAACATATATGGTGCTACGTATGAAAACTTTTTTTTCCATAGAAACATCCCAAATTTAAAAACCAACAAACAATTAAAAAATTTCAACGGAAAATTCAATTATCGAAACTTTTCGTTAATTCATAAGTGTTGAGATATCTGATTAAAAAATTTCAATAATTTACAAACAAAAAAAAACGAAAAAAAAAATCAAATTAAGAAAAATATACCTATTCCGATTTTGAGTTTTTTGTTTGTTTTTCTAATATCTTTTTTAACATCTTCAATTCATCTTTTATCGACTTAGTCAACTTAAATTGCTGTGTTTCGATGGTAAGCGATATCTGTATGCGATTATGTGTTTCAGAGTGATGTGTCGTAAAAACGTTTAAGACTTAAGAAACTTTTTTTTGAAAACAGTTTTATTTTCGGCTCAACAGGCTTCGACCCAAATTTTGCCGCCTTTGCTGCCACTCGATAAATGATATCTATTTTTAAAGGCTATTTATGAATTTTCTCGGATAGAAACGTGAACATTTCGCAGTTGTATTTTTTTTTTGATTTTTTCAATTTTTTTTCACCCTTTTTTCAACTTGCCATTTTTCCATTCACTATCTTGTAGCCGAATAAGTTTTCGCATCCCAAGTGTTGCGAAGTTCTGCTTCATCTCTGTGTTTTAGATTCGTTAGGACAAAAAGTTACTCTTCCTTTGTTTCACAATTGATGAGAGAAGCTCTGCTTCCTCTCGGTGTTTAATATACTTGTCATAATGTTGTTACATAAAGTAATATTGTTTCGTACTTCTGAATTGTTCGTTTTTTAGACAGTTTTATGAAAGTTATTCAACCGTCACCAGATATGTTTTCCGGCGTCATCAGGTACATTTTTCTGCATTATCAGGTAAATTTCCACATGGGATAACATTTTGCTTAGCTTGGGATCCAATTTTTTTCTCTGAATGTCGGGGAAACGATTTTTACTACCAACATCTTTGGGGTCGTTCAGAGTAGTTATTGGAAGCCCACGAGAATTAACATATTTGATTCCTTGCTAACTATACATTGCACCCTAAAGGTTTCCATAGTATCCACACGTCGCTCCATGCTTGATACCATAGTAAACATACAATTCAAGCATCCATGGTGACATATCAGTTCCCAGCAGTCCTGGTAAAATTACCAAAATTGTCTTATTTGAAGTCCCCCATAATAAAAAAATGTGCAACCATACGTCGCGTCATGAATGAAAAAAGTGTTATCTTAACATAAAAAACTGGTGGCAATTTTTCATGGCTTCCATGGAACATTCCATGGTGCGACGCATGGTTGCACATTTTAGTCAACCCGGGAAATTATGTCGCAAAATAGTTCTTATTAGAGTGCGTCGAAGCTCTTTACATTTTGCATGCAAACTTACAAGCACATGCAGTTGCCATTATCCACACTAAATCTATAATGTAAAAGCTGGATCTACTATACAATTGCCTTCTCCCACCCTTTCAAGAAAGTATAGATTAAGTTGTCAAATTTTCGTCTAATCAAATTGCAACAGAATTCGAAGTTTAAACAACGCTTTAGTGATATTTTTAAAGCTTTTATTTATAGGGGTGGCAATTCTTAAGTAGATACCAAAAGGATGGCGATTGTTAACTAGATGCGTAAAAGCAAGTAGTTTATTGAAGATACTGACAATTACTATTGAGTGAAGTTAACTAGTACCCCCCCCATAATTACGTGGGTTGATGAAAATGGAATCTACAGAAGATAATTTTTATTGACAGTCTCGATGTATTATTATTTGTGATCAACAACCACATGGCCTTGACCTCTCTCGCTGTCCGCTCAGATCTCCAAGCAAGTCCCCTTTTTTCCCGTCCATTTCACGATTCTCTTCCTCTCTGTCCAGCATCATTTTGACAAGCCCTTCGAATGATTCTTTCACGCCCACACCAGACTTGGCCGAAGTTTGGAACCAAGTGTCGAAGTTTTCGCTCTCGCACAAGAAGGACCAGTTTTCGTCGGGCATGCTTCCCAAATCACACTTAGTTCCTACGATGACACACGGGGTATTGTCGGGAAGCAAACTCGAACTTCTTTGGCGCCATCCGGTCACGTGGCTCAGAGATTTGTTGTCAATGAGGCTGAAGCATATCATGACCCCAGACGCGCCTCAAAAGAAGTTGGAGGTGACTTCTTTGCTTCCCGCGTATTGACCGCTCAGATCCCAAAACTGAAGTTTAACTAGTTTTCCCTCGAATAAAATCTCTTAGTGTTCTTGAAGAAAAATCTTCAATGCATTCAACAGGCGCTACATAAATTATTATTGTTCAATAACGATTGATAAAAACATCACTAATCGTTCCTTCAACTGCAGTACTATATAAAAAATTATATGAAAAATAATTTATTTAAAAAAATACAAAAAAATTAGTAGCATGACAATAATGTTAGTAAACATCATTCATCTTGTTGTTCCAGCTTCATCACCTAAACCTAACAGCTATCATAAATAAACTAACTTCATCAAAACTAAAAGTCACAAATCGTTATTTCAAAATTTTTAAAACCTTATATTTTCTAAATCTAAAAATTTTCTTAAAATCTAAATCCAGATCATCAAGGCTTATCCTTGGATCTAATTTCATTTTCTATCCTTAATTTTAATTCTGATCATCAAGGCTTATCCTTGGATCAACAGAACAATTTTGTTCTCCCCCACCCACTTATCAAGTGTCTAACGACCTCAAACGTCGATTCACTCTCCAACCTTTTCAAAAGACCCAGGACTAATAGAAATTTTTCAAAATAATTAACCATTCAAATTAGGCTAAACAGTGAAGAACTTCGGTTATTCATCCTTCACTTGACCCTCTCCTCTTATACGACCCAGGATAAATCATAGACTTAGTAAGTTTAAAATAGTATCTAACGAACTACTCGCGTTCTAATTATACCTGAACCTTGTGGATCGATTTACTATTCTCCAACCCTTGAACACAATCACTACCCCTAAGTAAGGTTAAGTAAGTTAACACCTTAGCTTATATTAGTCACAAGAAAGTATAATCATTCTTCGGAATCGATATATCTTTCTCTCCAACCCTAAATAAAAAGACCCAGGCTAAGCTAACCAAAAAATTGTAAGGACTAACAGTCTAGGAAATAGAAACCACTTACAAACAACCTTGCATCCATCATCCTAAACCTTATGTCATTAAAAAATTTAGGAAATAAACAAACAATCGTCGTACACAATTGTCAAATTGAAAATCAAAAATACGATCTTGTTATCACCCCACACACACAAACAACTGAATATATACACACAAAACGACAAACATTAAGAAATACAATTCTAAGTAAACAACGACAGATAACACGAAAAAGATTTTCAAAAAACCGAAACGCATTTTCCGACTCGGAAGTCAGTAGTCTCGACGCATTATACAAGGTAGAAAACACAATAAATCAATCTTATCCGATTCAAGACTCAGTATATTTTTCAGACTCAGAAACAAATACAATCGCATCGAAAAAAGGAAGAAATAGAATAAAAAAGAAACATAAGCATAAATCAGTACATTTGTACAATTGGAGTCAACCAATTATACATATAAATAACTATTTATTAACAGTCATCAAACAAAAAAATGATCAGTCCCACTCACAGTAGTGACGAAGACATAGATCACGAACAAGTATTCCCTTTTGTTATAAACTCAGATACTGATAGAGGACAAGTAAAATTTTGTAAAAATTCACTCATAAATTTATTTGAACCAGGATCTAGTCCATGTAAAACAGAATTTCCAGATATAAGAATAAGAAGACAACTACTAGATCACTATGTAAAAGATATCGCGAAAATAACACAACAATACGGTATCTATACCATAGAAATCAGTACACTAGACAACAAAAAATATGTTTTTCAAACAGACGATCTTGATCTCGAAATTTCAAAGGTATTCACAGAATATATTAAAAATATACAACACCATAACTCACAGAGAGCAATCTCAATATTCACAAATGAAGTTTTTGCTATAATAGACACAAATTTAAATATATTAGAAACAACACAAACCCAAAGTACATCACCACCTCAAGCATCTAGACATACCGGAGTAAGAAACGAAATCACTGCATTTTCTACATTTTTATATGCAATCCGTGAATATTTTTCAAACAATGATGTTTCACAGAATTCTAAACATGATCTACAAAAAATACTAGCATGGTTTATAATTGATTATTTCGGACATAATATAGATTTAATACACGACGCAAGAAAAAATTTTAGACCTCAATATAACACTGACGAAACAGTCATCCACGAACAATCAGATTATGTTTGGGACCCTGATTGGTCTCATCCATTATTTATACACTTCCCAAATTCTATTTCAAGTCAAGCAATAGATACAATATCTATTGACAGAGATTATATAAATATTATACCATTCACAATTGATGCCACACCTCTAAATTATAATTCATTTTTGCCTGATACACAAAATAATACCTTAAACTCAACGGTCATACAAAACGAAAACCTTATTGAAACTCAAAATACTACACAACAAGATATTCAAATACCATCACAGTTCATAAATGAAGAAATTGTACACACGACAGTAACAACTACACAACAAAGTATTTCACGAATACATCCAAATTTCACAACACCAAAAAATAATAAAGTGACATCACCACAAGTAACATTACAATCAACTGTAAAACCTTCAGCCACCTTAGCCCCTAAATACTCACATATGGACTACCAAACATATAGACCTATGACAAGACCACCAAGACCACAGAGAACATTCACAAGAAACAGTTTTGCAGAACATAATTATAACTATACACATCCACCAAGAACAAACTATTCACCACGAAAACCTAATAACAATCATATATATTCTCGCAATTGGGAAAGACCAATGACATCCAACAATTCAGTAAATTTTCAATCAAATCAACGTCCTACACAAGATTATAGTGAAAATTACCCTTTTTTCCAACAAAATAAAAATAAGTCACAAAAACCCCATTATACGGATTATATATCATCCGATGATGACCATTTACCAGATATTTTTGAACCATATTTACAAGAGTACCGACATCGAAAGCCACAACGTACTCAACATAAAAGAAATTTTCCTGAAAACCCACTAGATTTTCAAGACCAACAACCACAAAATCCTAATTCATATAATACACAATTTTTTCAACCAATACCAACACAAAATCCAATGACAATGCATTCATACCAACCACTCCAAATGCAAAATGAAATTCCATTACCATACTATCTACAACAACATGAGATCACAAAAAATCAATTAACAAACTTTTTACAAATGCCAAACGCCGCAGAGTCATTACAAATGACGATGAACCCATATCTCATGGGAGGATCATCAATAACATCAAATAAACCACTCATGGTTTTTACAGGAACAGACCCTGAATACTCAGTAGAAGAATACTTAAACGCAGTCACAGCAAATCTATTTCTAAATATAGGACCTGAACCAATAAATACACCACTCCATCAAAATGGGATACATCGCCGCACAGCGTTAATACAAACGACATTAGACGGCGCAGCACAAAAATGGTTCTCAGTACTACCTATAGAAATAAAATCAGATTGGAAAAGATTCACACAAGAATTTTCAAAAATGTTTGATTCTGAAAGAAACAAACAACATCAAAGAGTTTTATGTAATGAAATCAGAAGATTACCAAATGAAACAATAAAACAACTAGCAGTAAGAATCGAAACACTAGTTCGAAAAGCATATTCACTTAATACGCACGATTACAAAAACACAAAAATGACAGAAATTTTAAGATGACCTTAACACCACAACTAAGAAAAATTGCGATAAAGAAAAGAGCATCTCATCCTTCCTCAATTCGTGAACCTGATTTAGATTTCAGAAAACTAGTCGATAAACTAGAACAAGCAGAGATCACAATGAAACTCGAGGAAACTGAAAACTTAAAATTACAATATGTGAATCACATTGAAACAAAAACTACACACATTAACAGTATACAAGAAACAGATATAGACCTATCTGAAAAAATCACTGAAATTTTAAACATCTATGAAAAGAACCCAAATTGGAAAGGCAAACCATCTTTTAAGAAATGGTGTAATTATTGTCGATGATACGGACACAGTATCTCAGAATGTAGACAAAAACAGCAAGACAACCAAAACAAACCTCCGAAACACAAGGAACCAAACAAATCATTTTATCACTACATGAAAAAAGACCAAAATTTACCAAATAAAAATGTATACAGTAACAATAGCTCTGGAAAACCACTTCCAAATAAACAAAACTATTCTCGAAATCAGTCACCACACAACTCTAATTATAGAGGTAGATCACCTGAACAGAGAAATTCTCGAAATTTTTCACAAAATAGATATAGTAGATCAAATAGTCGAAACAACTACACACGATCAAACTCAAACTCGATGCAACAACAATCATCAAATTACCAACCAAATAGAAACAGAAGCTATTCAAACAATCAATCACGAAACTCGTCTTATAATAGAAATAGACACTATTCAAATAATAGAAATAGAAATTACTCGAACAATAGAAATAGAAGCTATTCCAACAACCGTAATAATTATTCAAACAATAGATCACGAAACAACTCATACAACAGATCAAACTATCACTGATCAAATAACAATCAATACAATAGATCGAGAAACAATTCACAAAATCGAAATTCTAGTTATAATAATAGATACAGAAATTATTCACAATCACCACATAGAAACAATAATAATTATCACAATTCCCAATATCGACATAGAAGCAATACACCAAAACATCAAAGACAAATAAATCAAGTACAAACAAGCGCAGAAATAACTTCAGACCCCCCAGGTATAGATAACACAACAAAGTTACAAGTAAATCAAACTAATTGCGAATCAACAGACAGTGAAAGCGATACAGATAAAAATATCTTAATTAATATGATAACTGTCGAAAATGATTACGAATCAGTCACATATGAAGAACCTTTTAGTTCACACATATACGAAAATCAACTAGAACTCCGTAACAATTATTATTTAGGACCAAATAATAATCCTACACAAATCAA